GTAACAAATTAAGAAAACATGAGTAGTTGCAGACAGACTTGAAATATTGTAGCTTGTTCCACATACATACACAGCAAAGCATTTAATCCAGTTTTTCTCAGTTCAGCTGACAGTGTGGTAACAGTAACGGAGATTTAACGGTGTAATGGTTTAACATGTCCGGAGGGGTTGTGTTTCTTTCTTAGTGTGTAGTAGGGATATGTGTGACTCAGGAGTTGTTGCTGCTCTGGCTCATCAGCTCCTACAATGTTAACAAGCAAAGCTTTGACATAAATGAGCAGTTGTATGTGATTGTAGCAATGCTCAACCACGCTCTTCGTGGTCGGTGTAACATTTCTAAGACCAGCCTTTGTGTTCTCGTTAGAATGATTTCTTACTTTTAGATTAGTCCACTACTCTTATTTTTCCTTCTCCTTAAAATGACCGATCGGTTGGTCATCAGCAGCAGACCTGGTCTGTATAGAAAACGTGGGCGTAGCTCTCAGGTGTGGAAAGTATTTTGTTTTCTCATCTGTTTTTCCTGGGAAGCACAATTTTGGAATGCTAGTGTCTGCGATTTAGGACAGTGAGGGTGGAGGTGGTAATGAGGCTGACAGGCTGTTGTAGGCTTTGTTAGGGGGCGTGTACCGGTGAGGCTCAGTGCATGTTTGTGTGCGCGCACATTCTCTCTCTGCTCTTTCCTTCTCACATCCGCTTTTTGTTTCCATAGAAACGCGGGTACAGATCCAAGAGTCGGTGCGAGGCAAAGATGTCTTTGTCATCCAAACGATGTCAAAGTAAGAGAGAAGACAAATATTTATTTGGACGTTTCCCCAGAAACGTGTCCCTCACGTGTAACCGTCTGCTTGTCTCTCTGCACTTCAGGGACGTGAACACCACCATAATGGAGATGCTGATCATGGTGTACGCATGCAGGACGTCCTGCGCCAAAAGCATCACGGGCGTTCTCCCCTACTTCCCCTACAGCAAGCAGTGTAAGATGAGGAAGAGGGGCTCCATCGTGTCCAAGCTTGTTGCATCAATGATGTGTAAAGCTGGTGAGTCTGTCCCTTTAAAGCACTCAAGAAGAAGACAGGACACTATTCAATGTCACATATCGTAGTATTTCAAATACATGATCTGTACAAACCACAGACATGTTACAAGCTGACATGACCATGTTTGTGTAGGCCTCACCCACCTCATCACCATGGACCTCCATCAGAAAGAGATCCAAGGCTTCTTCAACATCCCAGTGGACAATTTGAGAGCCTCCCCGTTTCTGCTGCAATATATCCAGGAAGAGGTCATTTCTAAAAACAGATGTGACACACACGCCTCATTTCTATCACTTTTATTGTTTCTAGTCTTAACTTTAACAAATTTGATGCTTTTTTGATACTTTTCTACATTAGTTCATCTCTTGTGTGTCATTTTAGCTCCTCTCCCTTTAAGCTTACTTCTGATTGGCTGACTCGGGTGGGAGCAGGTGGGAGGGGCTTCTGTGCCCGAGATGGCCACGTTTTCCTTACTAATTTCATTCGTGAACAAAAGCCAGTCTGAAGGGATTAGCTGTATTTTCCTGACATCGTTCTTTGACACTTGCACCACATCTAGCATGAGCATCCACCCAGTTACAGTGTTCATATTAGCAAGGCTGTTTTGCTGACGTTAGGGGCTCTCTGCCTGCTATTACATACAAAATCAGTTTAGTAAATGGGAACAAGGTCCAAAGCTACCGGGTCCAGTGTAATATTGCAGAGCACCATCACACCATCACTTCTGCTGGAAGTAGCACATGGACAAAGGTCACCTTATACAACAAAGAAACGTGTTTTGAACTTTCTTTAAACAGACCAGTTTGTCCATTTTTATACTGGGATATTATTTAGGATGTAATTTAAATGTAGGAGTCTGTAACCTGCAGTACACACCTGCTAAACTATCTATCCAGGCATGCCTGCTGACACCTGGATATGAACATCTATTAAACACGTAGAGAAACAAAGAAGCTTGAGGTTCTTGCTTGCTGAGTTCTGATTGGATAAGCTATTGTGTGCTTAACCGTATGTAACTCTGACCTCAGTTTTGTGTCTCCTCCCCCTCAGATCCCCGACTACCGAAACGCTGTGATTGTTGCCAAGTCGCCAGCTTCTGCCAAAAGGTAGGCTCATCTCCTCTCGTCTGTACGAAGTCGCCTTTATCTGTGTTACCATTGCTGATGAGGCCAGCTTGTTGCTCACTTCCTTTTTGTAGTGCTTTTATTTTTGTCACAGTGTGACATGAGTTCAGGCTGGTGTCTGTGTGTCTTGTATTGGAATAAGTTGTGAAGCGCTGCTGACTTGGTGTGCGCAGGGCTCAGTCGTTCGCCGAGCGGCTGCGTCTGGGTATCGCAGTGATCCACGGAGAAGCTCAGGACGCCGAATCAGACCAAGTAGACGGCCGACATTCCCCACCCACCGTCAAGACCACCGGAGCCATTCACCCCAGCATGGAGATACCATGTAATGCACGCACACTTGCAAGGAACTCGTCACACGCAGGACTTTGTGCACCCCGTATGAATCACAGCAGGACTCACTGTCTGTGTTCCCTTCCAGTGTTGATCCCTAAAGAGAAGCCCCCCATCACTGTGGTGGGAGACGTCGGAGGACGCATCGCCATCATAGTGGTGAGAGATGACGCACAGTTTCCGAATTTTGGGATGTCAATGTAGACAATATGTCAAATCGACCCACTTGAAAATGCGTGTGAGTGAAAGTGGCTGCAGGAAACTGAGGCAGCACTTTGAGAGGTCAGCGGTACCTGCAGCCATAATGAGTTCACAGTAACAGTGAGAGTTAGTAGTTTGCTGAGAGGATGTAGCTGTGAGCTTCCTGACAACTTCCTGACTCGTGGTGGCTGCTCCCTCCAATTAATCAACAGTCTAACAAAAAAAGCCCCAAACGAACACGAACATGATCAGCATGAACTGCTGTGAGGAAAAGTCCTTTAATTACTTCAAAATGAAATCCACCCTTTCACTCGCTGAATCCTTTTTGAGGTGAACCAGCATTAGATGTAAGCACAGCGTTACCATTAGCAGTCATCTCGTTTTCACAAAGACTGAGAGGAAACTGTGAGAAAGCGAGTCTAGCCAATCAGGAATCGTCTCTGTGGTGCAGTAGTTAGTATGAAAGTGTGTCACTTATAGACTTATTAGTCATAAGTGATTAGAAAACACACTCAAACACACCTGAATGGTGACTTTGCCCTAAACTAAAGTTTAAAGCATGTTGATCTCTGTCACACATTACACAGCTTCATTAATCTGTGTCTGTTTACTCATACCAGTCCCAGCACTCGACAAATACCCTGATAACTCCTGCTATGAACACAGTTAGCCAAGTACAGTTACATTTTATATATATGTATATTTTAAACTGTCATGCATCAGTGCCTCAGCACACGATGCTGATCCTGTCCT